CTCCGCAGGACCTCCGGAGACTTCATAGCTGTGTTTAACGTGCCCTGCGGCCGCTGGTGCCGCTTGCTGAGCAGCCGGCAGCGGCGATTAACCTCCCGCGTGGGGGTTGCCTCAGTTGTCCCCGGCGCGCCCGCTGTCTGCTTTATTCCCACGTCCCGATGCCACGTTTTGTCTTGGCTCCCATGTAAGGTTAAACGCCCCCAACCTTCTTAAAAAAAGCACTTCCTGAAATCAGAGCTTTGCCACCCACTGCCATATGTCCACTGCTCCCTCTCCTACAAGGTACCGTTTAATGACATTAAGATATCTGCAGCCGAGTGCCTGACATTTGTGACTCTAGGGAAGGGGAGCAGTCATTTCACCTCCCACAAAGCACCTTGGAAGCGGATTTCAGCAAGGGAAAAGAGAAGAGTGTCTTCTCCTCTGGCTTGGAGGCTGATGACGTGATCTTGAGCCCTGCTTGGCCCCATGCCGCACCAGAGGTAATAGCAAGGAGCCACACGCTCACTGCTCACGTGGACTTCTGTCCCAGATGAATGCTGTCAGTTTTCTGTGCCTTTTACATCACTTCTCTCACCCACAAACAACTGCGGGGTGGCCACACCAGAACTCTTTGGGCTGTACCTGAAAGTGGTGGCCCCGGTGTTGAGGAGAGCTGGCGAGCAGGGGGCTGGGAGTCAGCCTGAGACCATTGGTGGTGTCCCTGCTGCCGTGTGGGGCTCAGCTCCCCACAGGTGGTCACATCCTTGCTTTGACTGAGCTTGCACCAGGCTGATGTGGCTCTCTGGTGAGCAGCCCAGCGTGAATGGCTGTTGGGAGGAGAAATGCTCTGTATTTTCCTCCTAAATGAAGCCTGCTTCTTCAATTTAGGTGGGGAAAGGGGAAGCCCTGGAAGCGATCCTGGGTGTCACTGCATCCTCACCTGCCTGGCCAGCCCACCAGCTGGCTCAAGCCACAGCCCTGCCATCCTATCTTACTCTGCTCCTGCCCCGTTCACATCCCTGCTCCTGTTGTGACCTGGCTCTCAGATGCTGCAGGGACAGGCACACTGCTGAAAAAGAGAGTGAGAGCCAAGTAGCTTCTGGAGGACTGGAGGCATCTGCAGGCCAGCAGATGCTGCTGGCACCCAGCATTTCTCAGGACCAGTTGCATGGACCTCAGGAATATTTATTTGCATCCTGGCCTAAATCCCAGCTGGGATTTTTGGATGCTGCTGCTATATGAATATTTATTACAACAGATGATTATCTTCTCTTGCTGTGCACCCTTAGTTTGTATCCTGTTTGTGTGCATTGCCTCTCGAGAGTGTTTTCCTATTGCTCTGCTTTTCACTGTTTTGCTCTTGTGCTATGTTGTGATATAGCCAATTACATATAAAAAAAAAAAATCTGGAGATGGACTCTTCATTTTTCGATTGCAGTTTTCTCTCTTGGGGTTTTGTTCTCCTTTAAGCTGTGTTCAGTGACAGACAGCTTCATTTGCTCGGGTGTTCTTTGCCCTCCAAGGTTTAATGTATTTATTTAGAAGATGAAACTTACTGTCAGTATTTGTATAGCACCCTCTGGAGTCTGACTTCCCAAAAATCTAGAGCTACATGATATGTTTCAGCAACATTAATTAAAAGATTTTTAGCAAATTGGCTGATATTATTCAGTCTTTGCCATAGCAGTTGTTGATAACCACCCTATTTGTTGGCTTTTGTTTCACATTTATAGTGCCAGAAAAGATTTGGTTTGTGTTTTGATGTTGTTTTTTTTTTACAGTATGCCAACCACACTCACATTTCAAGGTTAATTCAGAAAACTCAAAAGCTTACTCTGTGCCTCCCATGCACAAGGTGTTATGTTCAGCCTGAGTTCTGAATGAGCTTTTATTTCAAAAATCTCTCCATTCAGTGCTATATTATAAGATTTGTCACCTTTTGAAGATTATTTTCAGGCTCTTGGGATCAAAACCAGCCTGTGTTGGGAAGCACTGAGGGCTGCCTTGTCTCTGTCCCACCAGATTGCCAGGCAGGGCTTGCATGAAGCATCCATGACAAGCACCTTTCCAGGCTGGGTGGCGGGGCATGGTTTGCAGGGGGGAAGCAGAGACGACCAGCATCCGAACCCTCGCAGGGAGGCTGCAGTGTGCTGTTCTCTCCCCCCACCACAGTACGCTGCGGAGCTGCTGGCAGTGGTGCGCCTCCCCTTCATCCATCCCAGCTATCTGCTGAACGTTGTTGACAACGAGGAGTTGATAAAGTCTTCGGAGGCCTGCCGGGATCTGGTGAACGAAGCCAAACGTTATCACATGCTGCCACACGCCCGGCAGGAGATGCAGACACCGAGGACCCGGCCCAGGCTCTCTGCAGGTAAAGCAAAGCTCCCTTCAGAGACACCAGCTCCCTGGTCCAGCAGCTCCCAGGCATGCCCTGGGATGGAACTCGGACCTCAGCTCTGTCCTTTTGTTTCCATCTGGGAGCCTGGTGGTATTTCAAGCTCAATTTTCCATTTCAGCTTCGCTCAAGCATTTAGGAGCCTCTCCCAATGATTTGGTATGTTTATATGTACAGTCCTGAAATAAGATTTAAAAGGAGCCTGATTTTTAGCCATTGTGATCTGTGGTAGAGAACGTGACATTTGCCCATTGTCCTGAAAGTGAGCCCCTTGCCCTTTGTGCCTCATTTTGTGAGAATGGGTGAATAATTTGCTTCTTGGCCATTCAGTCTCCTGTGGGGTGGATCTGACTAATATTCATAAAACAGCTTCACTTTCACAGCCCTCTGTGAAATAGTGTATCTATATTATTTTCATATGGTGAGTCTTATAGTACCAGTTCAGGCTGTTTGTTGCCTCCGTAACAAATGGGTCACACACCCTATATTCCCTTTGGAAAACCCAGCAGCTACAAAGAACTGTGTCTCTTCAAGAAGTTTCTCACCCAAGAAATGCATGCATTTCCTTTTTGGAAAAATACATGAAAAAAAAACCAAGTTCCCAACTTGCCAGTAGAGCCCATATCATGGTAATGTGAGGAATATCCTAAATATTTGCTGAGCAGAGAGTGGTGCAAATATCAGGTAGGAAAACTGCATCCAGGAAGGCGTCAGATGAAACAGGTGAATTGTTTTAACATGCTGCCTGTACTTCTGCTTCCCCTAAGTATAATCAAAAAACCAGGCAAAACTTTCTGTCTCTGCCAGTGATGCTAATGCAGCACGGCGATGGCATATCAAACCACAGCATCTGCAGCTTCTGGAGACTGCCTCATCAAGGCACCTTTCAGAACCATGAAGTGTAGAGGACTTTCAATAACAATCTACCCTAAAAAGTCTTTCATTGAAGGCGACTAATGGTGTGATGTTTGAAGGGATTTTTGAAAAGTGCTTATTTTATGTATATAAAATTGTAGGTGTAATGTGATCCATTTCCAGAAGCTTGTTGATGAGGGAAGAGTGATTCTCTCAGGGTAAGAGAGGGTGATTATAGTTTTTTAGGTCAGAGTCTAATTATATAGAGTCATGTTATTTTGCATATCAACGGCATTCATGTAGGCACAAAGGATCTCAAAACACCCTTTGTGGACTCGCTGTAGCATGTCACATGCCCTCTTGAGGTCATTGATTATAATCAAGTTATGTCTTGCACAGGTGATTAGATTTTCTGGTACGGCACAAAAATAATGATCTCTTGTTACTGAGAAATATTTATTTAAAACTCTACAACACTTTAACTTAATAACTTCTAAGAGAGTAACCTTGCTTGAATGACACATATATTTTTTGAAAATGCTAATGAAGAATGATGATAACCCATTACTCTGAAGACACATTTCTCTCTGCTGCAGTTCCTAATCTCTCGGTGGCAATCTCACATCTGCACTTGTGACCACCCCCACCTGTACACACTTGTCTCTAGGCTGGGCACTGTAGCACATCACAGCAATGGGTCTGGCCACGAACATCGCCCCCAAAATGGCAATTCCTTCCAGCTCGTGGCCTCATGGTCCTGTTTCTGAGCCTACCCCTCCTGGTAACAAATTGCACTAGGGACAACCATTGCTGTAGAAAGATGTTTCACACTTCTGCTAAATGCTAAATCTGGACTATGCCCAGCACTTGACTCTTGGAGATGGAGACAGAGAATGTCCCAGAGTTAAACTGTGACCCATCACTGCGGGGATGAGTCTGGAATAACATTCAGGTCAGATTTGACTTAGCTCTGGCCGTGAAATGGGAATAAAAGCTCTTGAGATGTGGGTTGCAAAAGTTTTGCCCGTTTGCAAGAAAAGAGAATTTGGCTTGCTGTACACCCTGCCTGTTTTGGGCTTGGGAGAGCTGATCAAGCACAGATAAATGTCAGTTAATAACTTCATTAGGGCAGGAGCTATCTGTCATGTTTCCTAGCACCTAGTACACTAAGACCTTGATCCATGGCTTGAGCGCATGTTACTTACATCTGGAAAATCTGCTTTGTCTGGGAAAAGCACAAAAAAAATAACAACCCCACAACTGTATTTTAATAGATTATATACAGGGAGAAGATTGGGATGAAGAACTGTAACTATAGCCTAAACCTCCTCCAGTCATTAGTGTGACTACACTAATGTGTGTAACATATGTGTGAGAACATGTTTCCTAGCACCTAGTACACTAAGACCTTGATCCATGGCTTGGGTGCATGTTACTTACATCTGGAAAATCTGCTTTGTCTGGGAAAAGCACAAAAAAAATAACAACCCCACAACTGTATTTTAATAGATTATATACAGGGAGAAGATTGGGATGAAGAACTGTAACTATAGCCTAAACCTCCTCCAGTCATTAGCTTTAAGTGTGAGAACACCTTCCTCAGGTTAAAGTCCAAACATACTTGCTGTGGATAATGGCCAAGCTCCAAAGCTATCACAATCCTTAACAAAATTCCCATTTTCTTCAGTGCAACAGGAATTTCCTACATGCAGGTCTCACTCAAAAACTGTTGAATTCAACAGTCATCCTAAAAAGGAACTGCCTTTTTATCTTTTCCCTCTTCAAGTTCTGCCTGGATAGCATGCTCCCTCACAGGTTCTCCCAGCCCTGTTCATGGTGATGTTCCTCACCCACTGCTCCTCCCCCACGCACACTCTCCCTTTTTTCTCACCCTTCTTGGTTTGATTACAGTCTAAGACAGATTTATGCACAATTCATTAAAATTACCCTGACTGCTGAGTACTTTTTGATAGGCTCCTACCTGGTTGAGAGATGACACTTTTTATAATTATTTTTTTCTTACTTGCATCCTAGGTGTAGCCGAGGTAATAGTCTTAGTTGGGGGTCGTCAGATGATTGGCATGAATCAACGTGCTTTAACAGCAGTCACTTGCTTAAATCCTCAAAACAACAAGTGGTACCCACTGGCCAGCCTGCCCTTCTACGACCGAGAGTTTTTCAGCGTGGTCAGCGCTGGGGACAACATCTATCTCTCAGGTAAGCAGCAGATTTCATAGAAACAGAATGGGTTTGGATTGGAAGAAACCTTTAAAGATAATTTAGTCCAACCTCCAAACCCTGCCATGAGCAGGGACACCTTTGACTAGATCAGGTTGCTCAAAACCCCGTCCAGCCTGACCCTGAACACTTCCAGTGATCGCTGGGCAACCTGTTCCAGTATCTTGCCACCCTCACTGTAACAAATTTTTTCCTTATGTCCAATCTGAATCTGGCATCGTTCAGTTTAAAACTGTTACCTCTGGTCCTTTCACTACAGGCCTTGGTAAAAAGCCTCTCTCTGTCTTTCTTATAAGCTTCCTTGAAGGCTGAAAGGCTGCGATAAGGTCTCCCAGAGCCTTCTGTTCTGCAGGCTGAACAATGCCAACTCTCTCAGCTTGTCCCTGTAGGAGAGGTGCTCCAGACCTCTGACCATTTTCATGCCCCTCCTCTCGACCCACTCTGACAGGTTCATGTCCTTCTTACGCTGAAGACCCCAGAGCTGAACACAGTACTCCGGGTGGGATCTCACAAGAGCAGAGCAGAGAATGAGAATCACCTCCCTTGACCAGCTGGCCACGCTGCTTTTGCTGCAGCCCAGGATGCCATTGGCTTTCCTGGCTGTGACTGCATAATGCCAGCTCATTTCTCATTTCTTGTATAGCAGTATCCCCCAGTCCTTTTCCACAGGGCTGCTCTCTATCAATTCATCCCTCAGATTTACTGGGCTGGAAGAAAAGTTTCCTCCTTATAACATAGGCAGCACAGACAAAGAAGGACTTGCCAGAGTTTTACTCAGCTGCTCTTGGGGAAAAAACAAGTAGGAGGGAGGTTGGGGGAGAGGGATTTCCCTGCTTTTATCATTCTCCATTTCTCTGTGGCATTAATGTTCTCTCAAAGCAGTCAACAGCAATATTTTTCAGTTGCAACATGAGGAAAATAGGTCTGACAACCATCAAGCATGCAAAGAGGTTTCACTGCCATAGAAACACAATTTAAAATACTGGCTGTAGCTGAGTCTAAATGGCGGGTTATGGAATTTGAGACAGACAGGCTGAACTGCTGAATATGTGGCCTACACTTACAGTATTTACTTACAGGAGCATTCACGTTTTGTACTTGTTGTTGAGACCTCTCTTTTGACAGTAGTCACTATCCCTATAATCTTCTTAGTTTCGATGAAACTGAGACCATGCTCCTGAAAAGGCTTTAACTCCCCAAGTAGCTGTCTACGCTGCGCCCACAGCATCACGGTGTCTGGTTTTTGCAGTCTGGCAGTACCTCTGCTTGGCTGGAGGGGGAAAAGCAATTCTCACCAGGCGATGCAGAGATGCTCTGATGGCAGCTGAGTGGAGGTCTGCTGACAAAAAGAGGAGCCTGGGCAGGGGGGCGCAGAGGTGTGCAGCCCGAGGAGGTAGTTGGGAGTGCAGATACATCAGGCGGTACCAGTAAGGGGTTACAGGTGTTACCTGTCCTTTGATGAGCTCCCTCACTGCACTTTCCATAGTAAATTGCTGTCTCTGCTGTTAAATTGCATTAATGCTGCACAGAGACCCTAAGGATTGATTAAAAATTATTTCTTGATGGTTTTTTGCCCATGCTCATTTTGCCGCTGAAGCAAAAAGCCTTCTGTGGAGACTTTTGTGAGATGTTGACTTTTAGTTATTCTTAGCTGAGGTACTTTCCAATATGTAGAGCCATTTTAGGCTGGGTCATACCTGCTAACAAAAGCTGCTGAATCCTAAGTTCAGAGCTTTTGAATCTGGATGAATACCTGGTGGTGTGTAGTGGCCACAATAGCATAGCTAAAAGTCCCGCATGGTTGGAAACCTATCTGAGTGTTGGCTGATGTTTTGCTTTGCTCAAACTTACAAGACACGGGAAAAAGAGAAGGTAAAACCAACAGAGCTGGGAAGGAGCCCCTGCATGCTCCAAGTACTGGAACCCACAGTGTGTAGCATGGGTTTGGAGCACGAAATACGAAGGAGGAAGCATGGTTTTCTCATTAAACCACAGAACCAAGTCTAGTTTCTTTTCCTGGCTCAACCACTGACTCCTAGTGTGATCTCAAAAAAATCATTTCATTTCGTTGTGCCTCAAAATGGGGATAGTAAGACACCCACCAAGTGGCTACCTGGGAAGCTTCAGTCAGAGGTTAATAAATGACCAATATAAATATTTCACTGAAGCATCTTGAATTGTTCAACAAATGGTTCTTTCCTTTATCAGCAAATGAAAATAAATAAGAAATTTGGCCCTGAAACTGAGACATTAAGCCTACAGTGCAAGCACTGACTTTATTCTGCCCACATATGTTGTGCTTCAGTCTGTCACTGTAGTAAGCATTTTAGATTTCAGACTGGCCGGTGTCTTGCAAGCCAAGATAGGCTCTGCCTCCTGACACCTTCTTGCAAGTGCTGCAGTACTTTAATAGCCTGGAAGTTATTTACGAGCACTGAAAAGAGTCTGTCCCCTTATGTACGTGTCCCTCGTAGCCTGTGACATCTTGATTTCTTCATGCCATCTTATTTTTAAAAAGCAGCCTTCAGGGCTCCTGAGTAAATGACACAGATATGCATCATCAGAACAGATGCTCAGCATTGAGGGTGATTTATTTTAATTAGTCAAACGCAATTTGGAGAGTTTTGACTTTGTAACTGGCTGTGATTGCTGTGTGGAAGGCTGCTGCCCTCGCAGGCTCTCAGGCGGTTCTCCCCTTTGTCCCCCACCCCGCGGGCAGGCGGCATGGAGTCGGGGGTGACGCTGGCAGACGTCTGGTGCTACATGTCCCTGCTGGACAACTGGAACCTCGTGTCCCGCATGACGGTGCCCAGGTGTCGGCATAACAGCCTGGTGTACGATGGGAAGATCTACACCATTGGAGGGGTCGGCGTGGCAGGCAACGTTGACCATGTGGAAAGGTAAAAAGTAAATATACCAAAACCGTGCTCCTTGGTGCAGCTTTTAATTCGTGCTATGCTAAAGGACTGTTTCCCTTTTAAAGGACACATCCGATGGACTGTGTGGGTTAAAATAAGCTTTTTTAACAGCTAAGAAAGGAGGAAACTATGCAGGATTAGATTTCCTTTTAAAGCTTTGGTGGAAAGCATTGTTTCAAAACTGAAGACAAAAGCTGCCAGTATGTTTGTCAGTTTGCTCAGGGGAGGGAAGGCAGGGGTTAAGCTTCTTTGGACACTTTACACAGATTATGCAATGAACTCATAAACTTCCTTTGCATTTAGTACTGATGAAGGTCTTTACAGACCACACTAATGCTTCTTTTTTTTTTTTAAATCAAAAAAAAACCTCAACAGCAAAGTAAGTTTCTTACATGCGCCCTCCTGGTAAAGCCCCTCAGCCTTGTCCTGGCTGGAAGGAAGATCCTCCCTTTGGTGGCCTTGGCCTGGGGCTGAGACCTGCCCAACTCCGAGTAAAAGAGCTGATAAATGGAAACTGTTTTGAATTCATGGCCAAGAGGGGCTGAATAGAGATGGGAGAGAATGGAAATTTCTCTTTTCAAGAAGACTCCAGAGGAAAAAAATTTCCTTTTCTCACATGGAACTTAGAAAAAAAGGAAGGAACAAAAGAACAAAATAAATATTTGACAAAGTGGAATTCCAAAACCAACTAATTCCATGTCAATGATAATATTCAATAAAACCATGAGTTTTATATACATAACAATGTTTTCATTAAAAACTAGAAATGCAGTGTAGGAGAATATTCCATTCCAAAAAGATCAGTACAGCCCTAGCCTTGCCCAAACACTTAAAAATGCATTGTGGCAATAGATTAAATGCTACATTTTTGTGAAATGTTTTTCCTTAGAGACTCTGGCAACCAGAAATATGAGGGGTTTTTCTTTTTGTCAGTTTTAAGTGCTGAATTTGAATACTTCTTCCACAACATTTGAAGCAGGCATTTCCCAGTAAAAGTTGCCCTAGCAGGCGAGCCAAAAAGGGATAGGTCATTAAGAAAGATTTGCAAAAAGTAAAAAGGACACTTTTCAAAAGGTTAGGATTAAAGATGCTTTCAATCTGTTATTTCTGGATTTTGGTGCTGCAACATTAATGTTCCATTTATGCAAGGAGTATTTCTTTTTTCATTTAAGTAGATACGGTATATACTGAACACCAGAACCTGTGTTAAAAGTTTATTAATGTTTCAAAGTCGAACACACAGAAATTAGGAAACATCAAAAATAAAGTTTCCTTCCACAGATGTATTTTTTGGTCTTTAATCATGTGATGACTTTTTTTTTTTCACAAAGAATTTCTGCTTAGTTCAGTGCATGGGGCAGAACAGTTGCCTGTTTGCACGGCCAGGAAGATCAGATCTGCTCCTGAGTGATCATCATTCACACATGACCCTAGTTTTTTTTGTTCCTGTGTCTTCACAAATTTGGCACTCTTTTGCCTAGGAGACAAGGATGTGTCAAAATAGCTCCTGGAAAGGATGTGTGCTGTGAGACAAGGTCTGCAGGTAGCCTTCCCTCCCAGCCTCAGATGGCTGAGGGGCTGCCGTTAGTGATGGTGCTCTCAGCGAGGCAGTGAGATGCAGACAGCAAGGAATGAATGACAGATCATAGCAGTGGATGTAACCTGTGAGCACTGCTTCCCTCGTTGACCCTGAGCTTCAGGTGGGCACTGCCCTTGGGACTTGCCTTGAAGGAAACCTCACCTTTTTATGCAGATTTTTTTCTCATTTCTGAAGGTATTTCTCCTGTAATTTAAGTCAATAAATTTTTAACTAGCAAAAAATGTTTTTGTGAACATGGGAAGGAGAGAGCACAGGAAAGAGAGTGTTTTATTCCATCTCTTGATAAAGATGAACAGCAAAATAATGCTATTGCAGATAGGTGTCTGATAGATGCCATTGATTAAGTGATCTCTTTTTATTTTTCCCTGGGTCTCATTTCTGTCTCTGCTCTGATTCTCATGGCCTCTCTTTGACAAAGCATCCAAAGTGTGGGTCAGCTGAATGAACCCCAAATCAAGTCATCCTCTCTCCTTCCTTCTGATCTCAGCCACCCAAGCCCTTGCCACAAATGACATTGCAGCCTGCAAAGTCACGCTCAGGCCCTCAGCGTCCCCTGCATGGCTCAAGGGGAGCAGCCGTGCTGGTTTTCAGTTGTAACAAGTCCACCAGGAGACTTGTGTGTGGGAAAGGAAGAGATTTCCTCCCTATCATTTCAGCACACGCTGTCTCAGCCACAATAAGGATGTCTTGTCATGGGGATTTGCTAAACCCGTGGTTATAATTAATCTGCTATTGTCTATAAAGTGACTTGTGAGACAAAGCTGTGGAAAAAGTGCAACATGGCCTCCTTAGGGTTATGCCAAGAAATGAGAGAGGTTTTGAGATGTTTCCTTTTTTGTTCTTTGAATGCCAATGACAGTGGGGGATGACAGAAGCAAAGCGTGGCAGGGCTGAAGCTGTGCCTTTTGGAAAGGTTATTTCAGGGTCTGCTGTTAGAAATGCAGGTGGGACGAAGCTGCCCCTGGGAGCTGTGCTGAGCAAAGTCAGGCCTCTCCAGATAAAAGCATCTCCCCTGTGGACCAGGCAGCTAATTCGTGAGGGCGTTCAGGAATTTAAACCACTGTACCCACTCCTGCCAGCAATGAGGCTTTCTGAATTTGGGTTGCAGGTTTAAAAAAAAAAGCATTAAAATAGAAAGTGAAGTCATTTTAATGGTCAGTTGTCTGCTGCCTTGTGCACAGTTAACGCCCACTTCTTGACTCTGCCTTCCCTTTCTTCTCCCCATGCCCCAAAGCTACAAGCGACCAAACTCCTCCCACCATATTTCTGTGGAGGCTGCACATTGCCCTTCAAATACTCTGTTAATTTGGATGGGACAGTGAGACACCATCTCTCAGGAGGGGGAAAACCTTTCTGTCATTCCAGAAGGTCCTACAAAAGCACTATATTAAAATCATGAGGTGACATGATCGTACGCTCCAAGTCCGAAGAGACCAAAAATTACATTCACCTCTGAGGTTAATATTGTTCCCCTCAGGGCTGAATTTCAGGGTCACGTGCTCTTGGGTTTTGGTTCTTTTTTTACCTCAAAGGAGCCATCTGAGATGCTAGGCCTCTTATCCACCCAGATGGAGGTACAGGGGCTTATCCAGGCCTGACACACAATGTGGTCCTGGGCTTTGCCACCAGTGTGAGGGTCAAGGCACTGGACAACCTCCCATGCTGGGCCACCTACCACCTCCCCTTGTTCACATGCATCTTATCTTTCCTAACCCCATTTTGCTTTCTGCTTGCTCAGTTAGCTCAAGTGTGACCATGACCACCTTTGGCCAGGTTTCAATGCATATTTGCTGGCATGTTGGAGGGCACATCTCCAGTCCAAAGTGACCTACCTTAACTTCACTAGTTAGCAGCTCCAGAGCATGGAGACCACAGGGTGTCTCATCACAACAGGTCTTTGAAGATAGAGAAAAAAAAATTGTCTCCCAGTTTCCTTCTTGTTCTCCACTTGCTTTTTCCTGGAATTCTTATAATATTTCATCCTGTATGGTTAAAATATCACAAAGATGTTTTTTAACATCTTTGCATTTTGTTTTTTTAAAAACCAATGTCATGCCATCTTAGCTGTCTGTGCTGCCACCTGACTTCACCTTAATGCATCTGCTGCACTATTATAAAGCATTAAGGCAAGTGGAGACCATCAGACTTAATGATTTATGGCATCAGCTCCTGTGCTTCTCTCTCTGAGCTCTTGGTTTTGTCATTGATGTTGAAGGGTGCAGCCTCAACCAGAAATTCTGGTGCCAGTTAAATCAGGGGGTGTTTCCCCAGTCAACTTCAAATAGGGCTGAGATTTTTTACCCTTTCTCTGCCATTTGTCTGTAAAGAGGCAGTAAAATTTCCACCTTGATGGATAACTTTACAGGACTATCAGAAACAGATAAGTTGGAGTAATTTGTTACCTATCTTAAAACAATATGCATGTGCCAGAGGGGCTAAGTTATAAGTCTATTTTTGTGGCTGTATGTGGCTATATGTTCAGGGAGAGTTATGGTTTTGGAATGAGTGTTTAGAAATAACAGCACGGCTGCAGTTCTCCATCAAGCCCCTCTGGCAAGTTTCTGTGTGAGAGGGAGCAGGTCATTAGGCGAGAAGGTATTACACTTTCTGTCTTCTTCTGAGATATGAGTTGGGTTGGGAGCTGGCAAACTGAAGTGGATCCACAAACTAGGTTTTTAGATAATGGATGGGCCCTGTAATATATGCAATTTGAGAGCTGAGAAGATTGCATATGCTGACAAGACAATATATGGGACTAAAAATGCGGAAATGTGGGTGCTTTATGGTTATTATCTGTTTGAAGGACAGGAGAAGATGAATCCCCTTGACTTGACAGCACTTTTACAGTAGGGTTGTCTAAAATTGGGAGATTATTTTGGTTGGCAGTATGTACATGGAAGACAGTCTAAGAAATTCAGCTTAAAGAATAAGCTTTACAAGCTTTGGAAACTGCTTCAGAACCTAAGGTTTTATTGAGACATGGTCACATAGGAATTAGGGCTTCTCCCCCAAAAAAAAGGTAGCGGGACCAATAGCCCAACTGAAGTGCACCAACACCAATGGGCACCAGACAGGAGGAGCTGGAAGCCATTGTGCAGCAGGAAAACTAGGATATAGCTGCCAACATGGAAGTGTGGTGGGATGACCTGCACAACTGGAGTGCTACAATGGGTGGCTATAAAACCTTCAGAAGGGATAAGCCTGGAAGGAGAGGTGATGGGTTAGCCCTGTATGTTAAAGAGTGTTTTCATTGTCTAAACCTTAACAGCAGTGACAGTAGGGTTGAGTGTTTGTGTGTGAGAATTAGGGGGGAAGTCAACAAGACAGTTAGCATGGTAGGAGTCTGTTACAGACCACCCAGCCAGGATGAGGAGGCAGACAA